AGTACTTGTATGTAGATGTTTTCATCTTTTTATCAAAGGCCATTGGTTTGAATCCATTCCAGGCTCATCATTTATGAAAGTCAATATGTGGCTGTTTTGTGACCTATGTCAAACGAATTGGTGGTCTCATCTAAATTTTATTATGCATATGGCTGTATCACAGAATAAATGGGAAGATTCCATTGCCTTATATGGACTTTCAATCAGGGCCCTGAAACATAACTTCTCTAAAGAAGAGACTATAAATTAGGCCAAATTGCATAGGGAAAGAGGCAGTGTGATCTAGTAGAGTCAAATTCTGAACAGACCTAGTGTGCAGCTCTATTGAAGTTTCCAGGGTTGTATTGGCAATAGGGGGCGAGAAGTAAGCACAGAATTTGGTTGATGTTACCCACCTGGGAGTAAATTAAGAACATAGGATTAATTTCAAACATGAATCGCCGCTGAAATCTCCAGAAAGACTGTGCAGATGAGAATTTATGAAGTTATCATTTGGGACATAAATCATGTTTTCTATCCACGCTTCCAAGTTTTTCAAACATACTGTCTCAGTGAGAATAAATCCTGTACCAATGGTGATGAGAAGAAACTGATAATAGTTCAGAAGTACCCAGCCACATTTTAGGCAAGCATTACTGGGTACAGTCAAACTAATTCCAGTGCAATAACATTCATCCTGATGAGTTAGTTTCTGCTCTATCAATGAGGATAAAATGGAGTGTGAGATTATGACCACAGTTTACCAGAAAAATCTGTTGTATTTGATGTTATACTGAGTATGGTTTATTGCACTGTATGCATCAAAGCACCGTATCAACGTACAATATATTGTGCATCATTCAAGTGCAAAACAGGACTGGCTAATTCAATTCCAATTTTGTACTTGAGCAATATACTATCCAGTTTCAAACTGCACTTGAAAATTTCACAAATATGTTATATTGAAAAGTGATACTATATTGGTCAATAGAATGACATTTTATTTTAACATGTTGCAAGTCTTACAAGTATAATATGATATAATATAATTCAGTTTAATCAATATTGACATATCTTTATTAATAAAGTCCCTTGAAATGCTAATGTAGATTCTTTTTTTTGTTAGAAATGGATCCAACCTGGTTTTATTTGAACCACACTAGGAATTACAGCAGTTTAAAATTTCCTTATAAATAATGGTCTGTGTTCTCCCCATCACTGTCTGGCATGGAAAGAGCAAAAACATATCTTTCACACAGGAAAAGGGAGCAGCTGGCAAAGGGAGTGCTCGCACCACATATTCACCCCACCCAAGGGTTGTCATCTACAGTCCCTCCATTTAGTGATGCTTGTTTCTGAGCTGGAGTACTTTCAGGGAGGTGAATGGCCAACAGGGGAGTGAAACTAGAAAGCTGCTGTTCTTCACAGAATGCTCTTGTAGGAAAGCCAAAGAGAAACTCTGAAGCTATATGAGTGTGACAGGTGACCATGTCAATAAATCTCAAAAGAGCTGCGTAAACATTAAAGACCAGATCCTCAGCTGGTGTAAATTGCTTTAACTCCACTTAAGTCAATGGAGCTACACTGGTTTAGGTCATCTGAGGATCTGGCCCTAATTAATTAATTCTCAAACTCTCCTCTGTGGTTAGTAAATAAGTATTATTACCCCATTTTACAGGTGGGGAATCCAGGGTATGGAAAGGTGAAATGACACAATGTAGCCTCCACTGTAACTTAGTAGCAGAGTTAGAATTAGAACTTGGGAGCTCCTCACTCCTGTCCTGTCCTTATTTCCCTTTGGCTATGCTACCAAAGGGTACATCTTCACTATAGAGTTAAACCATGTTTACACTATGGGCACTAGAGTGGCATAAGGCAATCCTGTAGTTAAGACACAGACTAGAGCAGTGGAAGGAGTTTCTTCCATTGCTGTAGGAACTCCACCTCCCCGAGCGATGGTAGCTAGGCTGATGGAAGCATTCTTCCATTGACTTAGCTGCATCTATATTCGGGGTTAGGTTTGCATAGCTATAGCATTTAGGGGTGCGGATTTTTCACACCTGTGAGTGCTGCAGCCATGTCAATCTAAGTTTTAAGTATAGAACAGACCTTGGTTTAACACCTCTCATTAGCCTGGCTCGAGGGAGAGTGGCCACACCAAAAACAACACTCATAGTGATTGGGTTGCCAGCACAGAGTAGCCATCACTAGCTCAAACATCAGCAGCATCCCAGATAGGCCAGCTAGTTTGAGTTTAAAGTACCACCTAATTCAAGCTAGAGATTTGTCTATGTGAATGGGAATCAGTTGGGGGCAACACTCAAGTTATACCTCAAGCTGACTTTACAGTCAAGGGATCCCCTAAAGCATGTGTATGTTAATGTTGACTGAGATATCATAAGCTTTCACTGATCTGACTGCCCAGGTCTTTTCCTGACTGGAACTAGTCAGGAAGCTCCAGATTCCCAATGGGTCCCTACTTTTACTGTTTTTCCTGCCTTTGGAGGTGAAAGAGTTGAGATCTGGATATTATTGTAAACCTCTTTCCCTGCTCCTCACTGGCAGTGGATCTGCACCACTATTCATTGCATCTTCATTCAGTGTTTACTCACACTATAAGTGTTTAGGTTCTCAGGGGAGATTAATGTAGACTTCAGTAGATAATCAGGCTCATCTCACCATAATGGAGTTCTTTTAGATTACAGAATTCTGTAATCTACATTATCCCGCACCACAATGATTTATCTTATTGCAGGGGAAAATGTGAACTCACAAGACTTATGGCAGAAGGAAGAGGGCTATTTCAAAGTTTTCAATAATATGGACCGCTTCAATTGTTCATGCCTGTCAGGATTTATATTTTATTATAGTTATAGATTTGAGTCACACATATCTGTTATCACCCCAAATTTGTAATAAGAGATTTGATAAACAGAGTAATTTAAATAAACAAAAAACAGAGCCCAAAGGATAGTTTGTAACTCTCAACGTGGACAAGACAGAGAAACTGGAAAATTTCTAATTCTGCTTTCTGCTTAAAAATGGCCTTTCATTTTCAGAAAGGAAACTTGGAAGGGCCTGATTCCACCGTTATTTCCTGCTTGTGGCTATTATTAAAGTCAATTAGACTTTTGTGCATGCAGGAACAGCAGGATCCTAGTTGTGCCTAGTTGTGGCAGGTTGTTAGTACAATATCCAACTCCTAGCAGGTCAATGGAAAGCCCTCACTCACTTCTGTGGCTGCTGGATACACCGGTGAAGCCACTTATCCTTCAGTGAGAAAAAATAATCCATAATATTGACTGGGTCCATTTGATGTTTATCTTTATTTTTGATAAATATTAACAGCAGCTTGTTCACCATTAAAAATTACCTGATAGTTCTCTCATACATAGATTCACAATGCTTTTAATATGCATGGCCCAAACAACAGATTTCCTCCATGCTAGAGGCAGAATTCCTTTACTACAGACCAAATAGCATTACTGCAAGCTTCCTAGTATCACCCCACCAATGTACCCCACTCACAATGGGCTTTTCCCTGTATGTAGCACAATTATCAAAGAAAGGCCCAGGAAAGGATGCTCTTCACATAAGGTCTCCATGCCAAGCCCCACTTCAGACTGAGGTAAATTAGGTTCTATAGTCTTAATGTACTCAATATGTTTTTTAAGGACAAAAAAATAAACATTTCCAGCTAATGCAGTGAATGCCTAGTTATGTTTTCTTCCCTAGTTGTGATTATAATATGGAATTTTTAGGGGATTGGGAAAACAAATGGATTCCCCAGCACCCCACCCCTTATTTCTGAGAGCACTTGCACCCCTTGGACACAAGGTTTATCACAAGCTTGGAGGGAAATTGTTGTGGGTTCCCGTTGCTTCAAATGTTGGCAGCTCATCACTGTAGAAAACTTGCTGAAACCTGGTTCCAACTAAATTTGTTCCTAAGGTTGCTTGGCCAGTGTAGAAGGCCTAGGATTTGTTATTCCTAAAATTTCCAACCATTGCTACCACTCATGCAGTTTTTCTGGTTGTATCAACTTGATGAGCACTAGTATAGGCAGGCCACTATTTTAGCATGTTAAAACCAGTTTAACATGAGCTATATTTAACCTGAATTTACATATGGCTCCTAAACAAGATATTAATCCCAATGTGGACACGGTCAGTTTTAGCTCCATCTTCATACCCACTGGCCTGCTACTGACACTGCAGGATGACATTTTTGTAGTGGTTTTGTTGATATTGAGACTTGTCTAATATTAACAGGAACCACCAACATCACACATGGGGCAGTGACTTGTCACACTCACAACCCAATATGGATTAAAATAACCTAAAGATAAAAGACTCTGTATCCCATTACTGGTCCTTTGAGCCATTCAGTATCCCAGAAAGCTTTCTTCTTGAACAAAAAAAATGCTAATCACATTTATTACAAACAGAGCAGAGTGTTTCTCTGCCATCCCAAGATAATGTGGATGTCAAGGTTAGTCTTACTATATCCCAGAATGTCAACACACTTGCCAAAAATGAATTTATCAGCTCAATGCAGCTGAGAGATTTAGTTTATCTAAATGTCCTACAAGGAATAAATAGTTTACCACTGTTTTTGAAGATTGGGGCAAATCTGACATTCTATTGACATATGCTATAGATTTAATTTAATGCTGTGGTTCAGATGTCTCTTCTGATAACTTTTAGTGAAATCTATGCTAAGAGTGGAACTGTTTAAGTATTTTATGGGGGTTTTAAATGCAGGGTTAGCAAAGGAAACATGATAATTGAAACAATGTTTGTATATTCTCTTGTAGTGATTTGGAGAGGAATGTTACTAAAGCTTGTTGGTTGGTTGGTTCTGAATATTAACTGGATTTTAGCATGATTTGAAGGGATTCATTTTAAGTTTGATCTCTTTTTTCTATAACAGGCAGATCACTTTCTTTAATGAAATGATTAAAAGTCTTTGAGCTGAGCCTCTCATTTATTGATTTATTTTATTTCATTTTTGTATTTTAGGCATATTGGAGATAACATCTGTGGAAATTGGAGTTGTGGCTGTTAAATCGATTAACAGCAACTATTATTTAGCCATGAACAAGAAAGGAAAAGTCTATGGCTCTGTAAGTATGTTGCTTTTGTTTTCAAAATGGACTGCAGGAGTCATAACCATAGTTCCCCCCTACTGACTAGCTCAGTTATCTGTAATTTTCTAGTAATTAGAGCTTCAAGGAGTTCTTCATCAAAATTTCAGGCTCTCATAAACCAGCTCACCATGGTTTGTTCATTAGGCTAAAGTTTGGCAGTGGCTGCTGGCATTCGTCATTGAAATGGCCTGTTCTGGTGTATGGTCCGGTCAGGTCTCCCACTAAGTAGCAGCCAACACAGCATGAAAACTGCAGACACTTTGGGGAGAATCTAAAAATAATAAAAATTTAAAGGTATTTTATTCTTTCCTGTCTACAATACAATCCTGTTTGTCAATAATTTTGGGGGAAGCATCTGAAACCTCATAAACAGGGGTTTCAGATGATGGAGCAGCAGCGTGGAAAGCATTTAAAGGCTGTACACTAGGTTCCCAACTCTAGAGTGCACTGGACAGCATACTGGTCAGCTTTTCAGATTCACCAGCTTTAAAGGGGCAACACTGATTATCGCACAAGAATACAGTAGAGAGGGGGATAATCACATCCTCAGGAACATAATCAAACTTTGGTTAATCAGAGTTGGATAAACCTGTACTTACAAACACATATTCTATCTTTTATAGGTAATATATGAATTATCACCAATCATTTTCACAGATACATGTAATATAACTCCATGAATGGGTGAACTAAACTCTAGTTTACACACATACTACATATATCTATAGTGTACATGTCAGGACCCTGGTCTCAAATTCCAGTTTTGAACCCAGGCCCAGTGGGTCCTCAGGAAGCAGCACTGGGCATCCAACTGCACCAACTCTTTGACTTACTTTGGAATTCAGACTTGGGTAGGCTATCTTCTAGGATTCCTCAGCCTGAGTGGCTCCCTGAGTGGCCACATGATCTTGACCTGATTGGCTAGTGACCGTATATAAACTTGCAGGTAGAGCATGACACTGGCATTTGTTTAGAATGGCCTGCATAATTCACTAATGGGTCTGATGGCCAAATTTATGCCAGTAAAACTTTTTTATCATCTGTGAATTAGGATGAAAATTTGGATCAGAATAGAATTCTGCATCTGGGAAAAAGGAGTCAAATGAGTTATTTTTATTTTTATCAGAAATATTTGCCAGCCTTTTTGATTGGTCTTTTACAGCTAGTATGAGCAGGCAAAGGGGCGGGGCTCTTTAATTTGATTTATTTATCGGATTCAGGACTGACCAGACAGAAGGAGAATTAGTGTGGCTTAGAGCTGTTGCTTAAGTTTATGGCCACTTGCCTTTTTTCTCCACTGAAGCAAATGATGGAATATTAAAGCAAATCCAAGCAGTCTTTAGGTTTCTAAATGTGGTGAATATAAAGAGCTATTTTGGGAAAGAGAGAGTATATCCCCTGGAGATGTTTTTCCAAGCTTACATAACTCTGCTAATGGACTACTACTGCGACTCAGAGCATTTTGAAAGTCAAATTGAGTGTGACTGATTCAGTCAACTGTGCGAAGAAAACAAAAGTATGTTTTCTGTAGTTTATAACTGAGGCCTGGTCTTCACTAAAAAGTTAGGTTGACCCATCATCCTTACATCGTTCATGGCTCTGAAGAATCCATATCCTTGAGCAGTGTAGTAAAGCCTACCTAACCCCTGGTGTAGACAGCGCTAGGTCTACAGAAGAGTTCTTCCATCAACCTAGCTACCACCTCTCGGAAAGATGGATGACCTACACTAGTGGAACAACCCTTCCTGTCCCCATAGGTAGTGTGTACATTAAAGTACTGCAGTGATGCAGCTGTAGCCCTTCAAGGGTAGAAAAGGCCTGAGGAGAGGTGAAAGATTAAGCCAGGGTTTGAAAGTTCTTAGTTGTATCTAAGTATAATGAACTCTTGATCAGTTTTTAAAATGGAAATCTACAGGAATAAGTCATGAAGATTTATATGAATTGTATAAATAGTAGTTGTCGTATATTGTCTCTATGTATCTTCAAATGTCTTGGAAACCATGTAATTATTTTAAAGACTCACTTAAACTATCTGCTATATAAATGTTCCTGCGTATTCAGGGCTGGTTTTTACATTGTAAATGCTCAAAGTATCTAACAACATTAATCAGAAATAAAATGTCTAAAGCATCTCAAAATAATCTTATTTGTACCATAAATAACACTTTATTATTTCAACATATTCTTTCTTCTTAATTTTAGTCTTGCCATTTGACTAGGTGCCTTAGAATTACCATATGTAGGTAGGTAGGCAGGTTGTCAATGTTTACATGTTCCATTGTAGGGTTCTTGTGGGCTTCCCTGTAAATAAGAACTTCCTTTCTGCAGTGTAGGAATTACAGAAATACATACTGCTTTGTGTCTTACTGCACATTTCAATGTGCAGGGTTTCAAATGACCTACTTGCAAAAGACTTCCAATTTGTATTTAAGTGGCTTTATTGAAATGGCTTCCTTTTTTCAATATGGAAGCTATTTGTTTATTAAAGACATTCTTGTCATCACTCCTGAAAAGCAGATCTGTGTATGGTAAATATTACAGAAACAATTAGCCTCCCATGACAACATACTTGCCTTTTATGTTTTACATCCTCTCCTAGCAAACTGATACCAATTTTCTTGAAAAATGGAAACCATTCATCCTTGGAAGTGTGTATACAGAATTTGTTAGGTTCACTGTGAACATTCTTACAATATGGATATTGGGCCAGGCACTGAAGTCTTTCAGGTCCTGATCCTTATTTATGGTAAGGCCCTTTATACCATTCTGGCATGTTAAAGGGGCCTCACACCCACTTTAAGATCCATTTACACTGCCAGAGTGATTTGCACCCACTTAAAGTCTCCTTTTCAATGTCACAATGGTATGAATGGACTTTAGTTTAAATGAGCCTTTACTGTTTAAAATTTACAGTTTATAGATTCATTTAACATGTGCTACCAATAACTTGGATCAAGACACTTCAAAGATTGCATTTGCTTAGAAGTGCAACTTGGTGAATGAGTCCATGACTGCTACACAGAGAAACCTTATAACTAAGAAACTGATGTAGTATTGCTGCCATGTTCCGTCCCAGAGGTGGCTGCATGTCACTAGTGGGTGAATTATATACTTTTATTACTATATATAATTATTTATTGCCCAATCGGTTAGATTTTTATTTTGTAGCATAACTGACATGTTATAATGTGCATGCAGTTAAATATTTCCATAAGCAAACTGTATAATTTTATAATAATCATCTAGATTATGTTGAAAACTTGTAAAGCACTTTGAAATTCTTCAGGATATTATTGTATACGATATTATTTTATCCTCAACACTGTTAAAAAGTCTTTACATTCTGAACTGGCCAGTTCATTTTTCTCTTTTTACAGAAAGAGTTTAACAGCGATTGTAAATTGAAGGAAAGAATAGAAGAAAATGGATACAACACATATGCATCCTTAAATTGGAAGCACAATGGAAGACAAATGTTTGTGGCCTTGAATGGAAGAGGAGCTACAAAGAGAGGACAGAAAACAAGGAGGAAAAACACCTCAGCTCACTTTCTTCCAATGGTAGTAATGTCATAGATGAAGGAACTGTTTTATTGATGCAGTTGAACCAAAGGCTCTTTTGTCAAGTATACTTGGTAATCCTCTTGAAGAGTAAAGGCAAAGAAACAGTGCAGACGTCTGCTTGTTTGAAAAGGGGGGAAGCCTTTGAAGGTTTTGTGCTCATTGCTGGCACACGAAGGACTTTTAATTAGTTCTGTGTCATATCTTATAATCAAGATACAAGCTGGATCAAATGGGATGGGAACTATTCCCAGTGTGAATAATGTTTTTTTATCTCTGTGATAGAATTTGCAGGACGTGAGACAATCTGTTGAATGATCTTCGGGGAAAGTTATTTATGGAATACTAACTCATATCAAAGACCTTCATTGCTCATTCAAGCCTAATGATCCAATGAACAGTTAAACACGCAAGCATTTACTGGAAGCACTTGGGTCATATGCACAAATAAAGAAGTTTCTGGAGTAGCCTCGTGGAAGAATGGATAGGATTAAGAAATATAAGCATATTAGAGTTAAACTGTTCTAACAAAATGAATAGTATGGTTTGCCTGTGTATTCTAACTTCATTCCTTTTTATTTCTCTCTAAGTTATTTATTTAATAGGATGTTAAATATCTTTTTTTGGTTTTAAATGATTTCCTCAGTTGCTTCCTTATTTTTCCCCCTTTTTTCAGCTTTTCTCACAGGGGTTGATAGAGTAAACTTTCAAAACCTTACTGACTGCCTGAGAACAGGAAACTGACAAGTCAGCATTGCAGTGAATATGTCCAATCTGTTTTCTTCTAAACTGTTTTGCACTGAAGCAAAAGGACCTGGAGCAGTGCTCAGATTTATCACACACATTGGATGTGTTTATGTTTGTGAATCCTACCTGCCATCACTCAAGAACAAACTTCAAGAAATACATTGTCAGGAGGGTTTCGTTGCTTGTATGAAATGGATGGAGAGGGCCAAATCTGTACTCAGGTGTATTCGTGTTTGGGATGTGTATGTGTATGTAATTCAGATCCCATTGATTTGTATTTGGGACTAATGTATAGTCTTACTTAGGGGTCTGATCCAAAATTCATTGCAGTTAATGGGAATCTTTTCATTGCCTTTAGTGGTCTTTGGAAAAATTCCTAAATGTGGCTCATGCCCATTGATTTTAATGAGATTGCAATATTGCATGCAATTAAATACAAGCAGAATTATCCTGTGGAGCTGGAAGCACCTGAGAGCAGAATTTGGCTCCCAAAAAGTGAGTCCAAAAAGAGCACAGTCCTGCAGTCCTTATTCAGTTAACCTGCATAATTCAACCAAATTGTCCTCATTAACAGCTTGAAGAGTCGCAGACATATATTGGGATCATTTCCTGAATAAAGACAATAGGATATTCATGATCATGCATTTATCAGAGACTACTTTCAAATGCATATAACATTATGAGAGCCAGCTAAAGAACAGCATCTGTGTCCCTAGTTAGAATCTCTTTCCTATCCATCACAATAAATGAATGCTCAAAAAACACAATATCAGGCACTTTTTATGAAATGTTACTATTTCCACGGCTTAATTTGAGCAAATGAGTTTAAGCCTATTATGAAGTCTGGTCAACCTAAAAGAATATAAGGTTTGTTTTTTGCTTTACTTATTTCTGTAAATTTAGAGAGCTATGGATAGCTCATCAATATAACCGTATTGAGATTCATTTTGTTAGAGCAGATGAATAGAAAACAGTACATCAGCCAACATGTACCACTGTCTTCACATTGTATTCCACTAAATAAATGCATAAACCTCTCTGCAGTGTCCGTAGTGAGAAAAAAAAGTAGTATAATAATATTTTTTCTAAATACTTTAAGTGATAACTATGAGATTATATTGATGTGCAGTTCTATCTTCAGTATTGTTGGGGAAAAGTTGGTTTTATTTTTATTGTTTGGAAACTGTATTTTGATACAAAGGAGAGTTTTGCTACATGTGTCTTTTTTTTTTTAACTAAAGTTTTACCTATAGAAAGGCTGGTGTTATTGTGATCTTCTGTAACTTATTTGAGTCAATGCTTAACCAGCACTTCCAATGTTAATCGTTATTTAAGTATTAGCTGTGTATTAAAAAAAAAAAAAAAGACAGCAGCAGCCTCCCCATAACATGTAAAACATAGAGAACGGTCAGATTGTATTTCCTGTTCCTCAAAAAAAGTTGGCTGTTTTATAACAAAAAAGTGCATTTGAGGCACAGCATTTTGGCTTGTAGCTAACATTGCATTTCATGGTATTTGGTTTCCAACCTATTTGTTGATGAATGAGATTTAAAAAAAAATCGACCTACAGTAGAATTTCAGATGTTAAAATAAAATTTGTAATTGACACTGAATAGCAAAACTTGTCATATTAAGAGGGAGGTTTTCTTATTTAAATTTTTAAAGTAATAATTGCATATGACAATGTATAATGGACCACCCACAACAAAAATTAAATGTTTGGTTGAGCAAATATAGTATTGGATAACCACTTTAACAACATCTATGGTACAAACTAGGTTCTCATTTCACAGAGCCATTTACATGACTTAGGGGAGTGTATATGTAAACATTCATAATTACAGGATTTCAAAACACTAAAACAGCTTCTAGCAAAACATATCGCTGCTCACAGAGGCCAAGAAAAGAAAATATCACTTTTCTGAAGTGAGAAGAGATGGGGACAGGAGCCATTCTGTGGAACGAATGGTTGGTTCCTGATGGTTAACAAAAATAAAAAATTCTTGAAGGAAAATGATGGCCTGCACTATAGGCATGCTCTGGTATTTACTGTGGTAGAATTGTGCTGCAGACAGTCTTCCCAGAGTATTATAGTTCCTTTTATCATAAGAGGGATCTCCTGATCAAGTTAAAGAGGGTGGGTTTTTTGTTTTTTTAAAGGCTGATCAACAATGTACAGTATGTTATATTTAAATAAAAAATAATAAAATGCTGGGAATAGAGAATAAAAATATTGTCCTTGATTGTTTTATTAGCCTTAAATGATACTGCATAATAAAAACAAAAAATGGAAAAGGTCCATGTATGCTACAGGATGTGGTTTGGTGCTCCATAGCCCCAAAACAAAACAAAACAAAAATCACTTGAACATTTGTAAGGTTTCTTTAATTTTTTGCATGTGTGAGTCAGCTATCATCACTCTAATAACAACCAAATGCTTTAGATTCTTGCTGTAAGTGTCTAGGTCCACCTAGTTTATACAGTGGAAAAAAGCAATGAATTTAAAAGAAGCATGTTTGATGAAAGAATGAAGGGCTTTAGGAGAAAGAGCATGAACTCACATTTATAAGTAAATGTTAGATAAAGAAAAATACTCTACATTTTGTAGTCTTCATCCAAGACTCTAAAGCTTTTAAAGTTCAAGTAAGGTTAGTAAGATGCAGTAGTGCAAAAACATTTGTACGTGGAAGTAGACTCCAACTTCATGTCAGTTATGTAGGCAAAAGTCTATATTAAATGAATCAGAGCAAATTTAGGACCTGTTTCTGAAGTCAATCAGAGGTGAGGGTACCCCATATCTTAAAGTACGAGGTGTCATTATTTAGCTTTCTTAAATTAACTGTCTGGGATTATTCCCCCACTGCTAATTTTTTATTAAATTTTAGAAGGAAAAGAGCAACGCAGAGCACAGACACACACATGCACAAACATTTTCCCGCTGGAATTGTAATGTGGTCAAGGAGACTGCTTCATGGAAACCATTTCAAAGCAGTTGACAATGACAACATTAAATATATACAAGAAGCTACCTGTTTCGTATCACATTATGGCCAAGAGGTTCAACACGAAAAATGCATTGTTTTTTATTCCAGGAAATTATGGTTTTATATTTGCATATATCCACCCAAGAGATGTTTGAACCTAGTATTTAACATCATGGAAGCTCTTTGGGACTGTCTTTTGGGGGTCAGGGACTATCATTTGCTACTTGTTACTACAGGACTTAGTAGATTGGTGCCCAGATCCCTGATTGGGGCTTCTACAGGCTACTATAATATAATTAATAAGAAGGAAATGGGACTGCAGAAGTTCCTCATCAGTATTTTTATGGAAATTGCACATTGCTTTCACATGAGTAATATATTGCATGTGATGAATAAACTGATATGCTGGTGAAATAAAAATGCACAGGTTTGGCCATTTGGTTCAGTGTGAAACTACTAGGATATCAATATCGCACTACCTAAAGGAAAGTACATCAGATACCTAAATGTATAGGGTACATGGCATGTATTACCATAGACAACATGTTGCAAGGAAATAGAAGAGTTTATGTTCATATTAGATCTTAGAATCTAGGATTCTCTTGGGATAAACTAATACATGAAGAATCAAAATATTCTATGTTCTTCATTACTGTTGTAAACTGAACATATGAATTTGGGCAGCATAGCCCATGACCTCAGCTGCAGACATACTATTTTATGGTCTGAATCATTCTACTTGGTTTTAATTATCTTATATAAATTTTAGATGGCTAATTCACCATTTTACTAATTTCGAAGTCATTTAGCCATCACTTCAGTAGTCCTTTTGCCTGTTGGCAATCTGCACAGAGGGTCTTTCTCTGAAGACAAAATTAATGTCAGCATTACACATTACATGAAGTAGATCCAACATGCTATACATTTGTATGGAAGAGAAACCTTTTAAAAACTATTCAACTTTTATACAAAATGATTTTTTCAGGAAAGAGGAACATTTCCAGTGCAAGTTGAGCAATCAGTCTGTTAATTTCCACTCAGACTTAATTTATTACCATTTTAGATATTCTCCATCAAATATTTGTAACTTTTAAGTTTAGGAGAAGCCAAAGTTAAACATACAGCTAGTTGCTGGAGAATATCGGCAAGTATCACAAAAATGCTCAAGGATTACCAAGTTACTAACCATGCTCCTCAAACATGGGAGTTGAATGTTTAGTATTCAGATTCATTTTTCACCCCTCCCAAAGATGGTCTAAAGTAAGGCCAAATGAACAACCATATTTATCAGTAATTGCCATAACTAGTATTACATGAAAGGAGGAAGAGGAATAAACTCTGAATGGACTATATATTCTTCCATGAGATCCATGCGGTGGATGTAAGATAAACTGCTGATAAGACAATTTATATCCACGACAATGCAGAAATGCAGATTTTCAAGATACTTCCATACCACAAATTTCCACAGCCTGCACAAAGTGCCTAAACTGGCTTTGACCTATCTTCAAAAGGGGATATGGTTTGGCCAAAAAGATATATTTTTATCTCACCAAACTACTAACGCAGATTCTACTGTCTCATAATGGTGAAAAGCAATGTGAGAAGGCCTTCAGGTGGATTAACTGGACTTCAACACCTTCCAGTGATGTCGAGATACTATGCAGTTAAGTGATCATGCTGTGACGGGTTGGACCACTTTCTGGGATGCCACCTGATATACTGGTGTTTCACTGAGCCTCCACTGCTCAATCAGCCTGGGTTTCCTCTCCCTGCTTTGATGAATTAGGCTCTCTGGTCTCTTGCAGCACACACACACATAGGTAGGGCCACACCCCACTGCAAACATAGACTGAAGTCAGCTCTGTGTGAGAGGACTCCCCCCGTGCTCATGAGCACACCTCTTTTTGGGAGCTTAAACCCAAAATAATACTGTCTTGTGCTGTAAAGAAAAATCGGCACAGCACAAGCTCATAAAAATCCACCCTCTTCCTCAATGTGAAGAGAGATGTGCACACTTCTTGCCCCCCAGTTAGAAACTGCATAAACTGGGTTATATTATAAATAAGAAATAAGTTTATTAACTACTGAATTTTCAGTGAATATAAGAGATAGACGGAACAAAGCAGATTACTGTGCAAATAAAACAAAATACGCAAGTAAAGCTCAATATACTTAAGAAACAGGTTACAAAATGTAATTTCTCATCCTAAATGTTATTTTAGGCAGGTTGCAAAGTTTCTGTGGTTCAGAGTTCTAATTATATTTCTTTTCAGACTGGACCCCTGTCTCAGTCTGGACTCCTCCTCCCTTCCCCCCCCCCTTTCCCTTCAGGTGGCTTTTGTAGTCTTTCTTCTTGGGTAGACAGGCCATGGAATGGAGGAGTCCCGTTTGCCTTCCTCCCCACCCTTAAATAGGGATTTACATAAGGTGGGAATCCTTTGTTTTCAAAACTTGACACACACACCACCCTTTCCTTCCAGTGGAAAGTTACAAGAAGTCCCAGGTAATGTTCAGTATCAGGTGCCAAGACCACCTGACCTACTATGTCACAGTTACATCCCCAGATGGATGCCTCCCAGGAGGGAGCGAGATTAGTATCTTCATGGTCTTGTTGTTCCTTCCTTGTGGCCCATCAACTCTGATGGCCTGTCGTCTGGCGGGTATCTTCCCAATATACACCCAGTTATAATTGTTACATAGTCCATATTCCTAACTTTAGATACAGAAATGGTACATGCATACCAATTGGATAATCACATTCAGTAAATTATATCCTTTCCAATGATACCTTACAAGACCCATCTTGCACAAAGTATATCTCAGTTATGTCATATCCATATTATAAGCATATTTCCAAAAAGAATATGGAGTGCAACATCACACATGAATCTATAAAACTATATTGCTTAAATAATGTTAATGTCACAAAATAAGTATTAGCTATTATAAGAGTATCAAGTTGATTAAAATCCTTGGAAGGTATATCCTAAGAGAGTATATAATAGTTTGCCGAGAAAGCATTCCTGCACCTTTATGTTACATAATAAATTAGAAGGAAAAGTAATAGGAGTTGCTCACATGAGACCTAAGATGTGTTCTACAACTCACCTCTCAGCATGGAGGTACTTAAAAACAAAGATGAAAAGACCTATCAAAAATCACTGAAATATTCACACCTGCTCTGTGAACTACTAGACCACATTAAAAAGCATTAAACCTAAATTATGGAATAGACCTGCACACTTACTCCTGATGTGACTAACTCTGTGAATAGATATGGGATTGAACCAAAGTCCCAGACCCAAAGCACTTTGAACTTTTAGGAGGAAGGGGGAATTAGAACTTGATATGAATTTTACAGCTGACACTTTTCTTTATAACCGGACAAACCAAAACCCCAGCGCTGAACATCCCCAAATTTGGAGCAAAGGCAAAATTCAGATCCAAATCTGGATCTGAATTCTATAGTATTAAGAGGCATGTATATCAGTGAATGGAAAGAAATACAAATCCCAAAACATGTTCTCTTTGATCCATCTAGCCACTAGTTTAACAATATCCAGCTAATTTGCACACTGATCTATTACAAACATATATTTGATGTGTCATATTATTTCCACTTTGCTGACGTGTATGTTACAAACTACAAACTGCTGCAATCTTGCAGCTTTTTTTTAAACCTTATTTCTTAAATAAGCTTTGACAGAGTTCAGAAAAAGTTACATAATTGTTGACCTTTGCATAAAATTTGACATTTTTTTCAAATTGCAACTGGAATAATACATTCCAGATAATCAAATTAAATGCTGTGACCTTGGTCTTCCCGCACACACATAAATGTGTACAAATATTATTAGCCTCTTGAGAATACTAATCTGCATATGCTCAGTTAGAGGAAAGGATGGAGTAAGAGCAGTGGAATCTTGAAACAAGAACACACACATAAATCTAGCCATTGTGGCTTGTTGAAAGTTTTTGGAAATTCAACATTGCTATAAAAAGTTGTCAACATTTCAAATTTTGATTAAAAAAAACCTGGAAAATTGACAAGTTTCTCTGTGCAGTTTTTAGAGCAACCAGTGTGGAAATTTCAGTGGCACTGTTCATGAAAATTTTGAATTTATGAGAGGAAAAAATATGAAAATATTTTATAATTTTTGGACCACTCTACCAAGCGCATTATTCTTCAGCACTACTTTGAAAATGTAGTTTTCAATTTACCTTTACACTAGTCTATATATTTA